AAAGGAAAGGAAAGGAAAGGAAAGGAAAGGAAAGGAAAGGAAAGGAAAGGAAAGGAAAGGAAAGGAAAGGAAAGAGAAAAAGAATCAAATAAAATCACTATGATCAACAGCAGCAAAAGGAACTAAGGGTTAGGCTGTGGAAGACACATCCATACCCCAGCTTTACGGCAGTGCTGCTCCCAGCAGCCAGTCACAGAGGACCTGTGGATGTTCACAGACATGGGAAAGAGAAGATGCTGTACACACAAAGCAACACTGACCACAGAGGAACTCCTGTCCCGTGACAATAGAGTGGCCTGGTGGACACTGTGCTAAGTGAAACAAGCTGCACACAGAATAGACATCACATGACCTCACTCACAGGTTGCCCCTAACAACCTGTAGATGCAGAGCACGAGGGTGGGGCTCTGGCTGGTGGAGAAGTAGGGAAACATTAATCCAAGGCCAAGAGCTCCAGGCTGACAACTGGAAGTGCTGCCATCTTAGTGTGTAGAGGGCAGGTGACCATGGAGGGCAATCTATACTCCCTGCAGACTGCTCAGAGAGGGCTGGTATGTGTGGGTCAATGGTAGAGAACCTGTCTGGTATGTGTGAGGCCCCCTAGGTTCTATCCCAAGTATCATACACACACACACACACACACACACACACACACACACACACACACACACGCACACACGCTCGCACTGCTCAGAGAGTATCTTTTAAGTGTAAGTGGTGTTACACAGAATATCCGCCTAGGAAGCCATTGTATCACACACTTTAAATATTCATATTTGAATATTTGAATATTCATAAGTCCCTGAAGACTCTCTCCAGGTTCCTACAGTTAGCTCACCCAAGCCCTAAGCCTGGATGCCCCAGCAAGTTGGCTGGGTGTCGGATCTGGTGTGTCTGGGAGGAAGGGAATATCTGTGGGCAGCTCGGCTTGCACCGTGCACATAATATTTATCCACGGGTTGCCAGGAGAGAGAGAGATAAGCATTCGGGTATTTTTCCACAGAGGGGGTCTTGTCTCCTGGGATCAAAGTTAAACAGAAACTCGGGTTAACTGAAGCGTCCTAAGGAACAGCCGCAGTTCGGAGTCTCTCATCTGATTAAGGAGCCAGATATAAGCCAAGGCGAGAAGCTCACGAGGTCCTCAACCGAGGGAGTATCCATGGCCCGTGTGGACAGAGCAAGACCACAGCAGAGCCCCCCACAGCACCCCCCCAACAGCTCTTCAAACACTCCATGACCTACCAGCATAGTCCACAAGGTTCAGAGGTTCAATTATACTCTGTGACTCTTGGTTGCACCCAGTATGCAGCAGATGCAGGATTTGGGGGGCTCCACAGACCTTACTTTCTCCCAAGAGCCTTTAGGATCCCTGGGAAATTGTGCCCGCCTCTGTTGTTATACACAGGGTAGGCAAGGCTCTGAGACACGGACATGTGAGATTATGGCCCAATGCCCGGGTCTATGCAGCCCCTAGTCCCAAGCTGTTATCCTCAGGTCCCACTGAGATACCCAAAGAGCTTCCTGCAGCAGGCCAAATGGTAATGGTGGGTAGCTCTACTCACGCACGGCAGGAAGAGGTCAGTACTAGTGAGATCAGAGTCGAGGATCGTGAGTGCGATACCCTTGTACCCCTAGAATATTGCTCACCCCCTCCCCCCATATACCTAAGGGGCAGGTCCATATACACAAGGCCCAGCTGCATGCTGACTTAGCATGCATGTCAGGGATGTAGCCATGCCAGGGAGTTCCCCACGGTGTGACCCTCTACCTCCAAACTCTCACCTCACATACCAACTGAATGCTGTCATGTTTTATCTGACACTTTCCCTGGCACCAGGCACTCACCTCATGGTCTTCCTCAGGAGTCAGGAGAAAAGACATGGGTGAGGAAATACAAGCTCTGCTAGACAGACAAACACAGAGGCCTCAGGGTGCTCAGGCAGGGCCAGGTGTGAAGTGTATAGGCCTGCGGCACTAGGTATAGATAGCTATTCTGGTATTTTTCCATAGAAATGTCTTGTCTCTCCAGATCGAAGTTAAACAGAAACTCAGGTTAACGAAAGCCAGATACGTAAGCCCAGGTGTTGCAAGGTTAAGGGTTTAGGGTGACTGCAGAACTTCAGTCAGACCACACCCCACTGGTCTGGGGGATAGAAAATTGGGCAGGACCCACATTATAATGGAAAGCCCACACTGCACTGTGGTTCTGGTCAGACCTGAGGAGGAAGAGTTCCCTGATGGGAACTCACTGTTCCCAGTCCCCAAGCTTCCTGATGTGATCCAGGACCCTCCATGTCCCCAGATAGTCATGGAGATAAGGACTGACCCCAACATCCTCCACTCTAAAACCTCATAGCTCCCACCAGGAACTCCTTCTGCCCTTCTCTGTACTGAAGTAGGAGTCGTCAACCAGCCACAGAGGCCCAGCAGGAGTGAGGCTTACCCTGAGTGGATGAGCCTAGGAAAGGAAGGGTGGGAGGCTTCCTGCTCCTACCAGAGTTTCCACGGAACCCTCCCCCCACCAACCTTGCCTGGAAAGGGGCCTTAGTTCAACAAGGTGTGACACCCAGCTGTGGCCTGCAGGTACATGGGCTACTCGTGCTGATGGACCAGTCCCCCAGGACCTTGCTGGGGATACAGCCCAGTGTATCCAGATGTTCAACCACTGGCTAACCAGGCAGCCTATTTAATGATAGTAGTATCTCACGAAGCTCTTCTGTATGGACCATATGTACCAGTCCTACACCCCATGTAGCTAAACCTTCACTCAAAGGGGCTTTAGGCCTTCCTTCCAGCACCTACGGCCTTCATAGCATCTGGCCGCCTCAGAAACAGACACATGACTAGGCCCTCCTAACCCTGGATACCAGCCCTCTTGATTACCATCATCCTACATGGCCTAAACAAAGGATGTGGTAGGTCGGTTGTCTTCCTGTCAAGACACATCCCTGTAGAGCTGACCCTGCAAGGCGGGCTCTGCCAGCTGTGGCCAGGTGCGGGCCTCCACTGGGAGGGAACATGAACCACTCCACATTTCTCTATTCCAAGGATGGAATGTGTGTGGGACTCTATGTGACACCAGCTGAGTCAAATCTGAGCCTATAGCCCTGCGGTAGCGTCACCCTCTCAGGCCCAGCTGTGGCCCCTAACACAGCCATGAGCGATCCCTGGGCTTCTGCAAGCAGGCCCACACATCCATCTTGCCTGCCTGTGGCTCGTCCCCCACCCCTGCCCTGTATGTATCTTCTCAGCCAGAGATCTGTTCACCCTCTGGATGTCTCTCCATCCCAGTCCCTCATGTGCCTCTTTCCTGAAACAGGATGCAATCTATCTGGTGCTTGACCCTGCTTTACCTGTAGCCTCTCTCTTTGCTATATTCTAGGACTATGCAGGCTCTGGACCTCTGATGAGCATCCCAGCCAGCAACTTGCCAAGAACCATCCGAGTTCATCCAACAGGATGATTCCCTGCAGAAGCCCGGGGAACCCTCATGGCTGTATGCCTTCATAGCTGAAATTACTACAGCAGACACCACTTCCCCACATGCAGAAGACAGACCCCATGTCCTGCAGGCTGGCCAACACCTCCCAACACAAAAGTATCTAAGGCCCCAACCCATCCATCCATCACCTAGCCAGAGGCTATGTACTCCAAAGCTTTCAGGTATTGGCTGGGCAGAAGCATGTGGGTTGTGTAGGAAACTGGGGCCTATGACCCTGAGTGCCTGGCACCTTTGAGACCTTTGCCCAGGCTGGCTAGGGACATGAGGAGAACATCAGACAATGTGGCTCAGAGGCTAGGAACAAGGAGGAAGCAGCCGTGTTTGGTAGGAATCAAAGCTCCCTCCCTCAGATGTGTCAAGTTATCGCTTTGTTTCTCGATTTCCAGTCTGTGACTGCGGAAGCACCTGGTTGACTCAGAACCAGGACACCTCAACACTCAGAGAGCACCTAGGGCAGGTGACAACCTGTCATGCCTGCTACAGAAATAGAACCTGTGGTCATAGCCACGCCCAGACCCTAGCCTCCTCTCTGCACAGAACACCATATCCCAGCACCTCTCCAGTGCCATCGGCAGGTTCTGCAAAGCAGGGGTGGAGATCCAGTGCCGGGTTCTCATTAGCCCTTGACAAGCTCTCTTGACGAAAGGCAGAAAGGAAAGGGGCAGATGGTAGCCACTCGGTTACCTGCAGCTGGCCCAATGAACACACAGTACCCATCCTCCTGAGAAGGGAGAGAGGCACAGATGACAGGCAGCCTGTCCCCGGCTAGGGAGTTCCAACACTCGTCCTCCAGGGCCTCACAGAACTGCCGGCAGGGTGGCAAGGCAGGTGGTGGGCCCGGGCCACAGGAGGGAGCCAGCAGCAGACAGAAGAACCAGGCAAGGAAGGGATGGCAGTTTGTACGAAGGAGGCGCCCCCAAGCCTGTGCGGTGGCCTCTACCTCCGCGCTGTCTGTATGGTGAAGATGATTAGGCAACCAAAAGTGTCCGATCCCTAAGCGACTGCAGATGGCCAAAGTGGGCGGCAGGGGCAGGCAGCGGCTGGTAGAGGTCAGAGAGCCATTTCCCACCTGTGCAGAATTATTAGAAAGCTCGGGCCCAGAAGAGGGAGCCACGTGGGAAACCCAAGCACCGGGGAACCCAGGTAAAGCTGCTACTTGAGAGAGTTGGGCTAAAGGGTCAGAGGAAGGAACAGAGAGTAAACCGTGCACACTTAGAGAAGCCGTCACCAGAGGACCCGTCACCAAGGGAAGAAGAGGTACGTGCCCGTGGTTGTCAACGTGGACACCAGAGTGTCTGTGCTGCCGGCTGGACCTGGCTGCCATAGGCAAGAATCCTTTCCTCTCCAGATGCTGGGGCTGCCTGGGAGGCTCTTGGCTCGCCCAGGGAGGAGCCCTGATCCGTGTAGAAGAGAGAAATGCTCTACCTGGGGACGCTGGAGGTACTGAGGGTCTTCCCAGTGGTGCCTGGAGGCTGCTCTGGAAGGGAGGCAGCTGGGTGGGCACAGCCTCAGTTGTCTGAGCATCTGGAGAACTTGGAACACCACTGCTTAGCCCAAGAGTGGTCTTACTCCACTGGGGAGCACTGGAGAGGTCGGCAGGAGTAGGGAGGACTGTAGGGATTGAGGAATCTGAAGCCTCAATCCCAACAGAGTGCTCATTAGCAGAGTCCTCATCCCACAGATGGACAAAGCTCCGAATGCCCTGAGCCACATTCAGAATCTTGGCTCCTACACCGGCAACATTCTCCTCCTTCGCGTCTGAGCTTGCAACAGGGGCCACCAGGGGAATGGGGACAGCAGGGGTTGCAGGGCTGCCGCCCTGGCTGGCTTCCCGATCGTCCTCCGGGGGCAGCTTGGGGCTGGCAGGAGTTGTCTGTTGTCCCGTGAGGCCATCCTGGGGGACCACGTGCGTGATGGGGTTCTCTGTGGACTGCACAGGTGAACTGATCTGGGGTTTCGAGACCGGGCCTTCCAAGGAATCAGGAGTCTTGGGAGCCCAGAGCCACACCAGAGGATTCAGGGGATTCAGGGAATTCCCATCAGCGGTGGCAGGCACAAGGCAGCAGGCAAGCAGCGGCAGCAGCAGGCAGAGGCGTCTGCTGGGGTCGAAAGCCATCAGGGCAGTGCAAGCCTCTGAGCTGGGGCGGCTCCTGTGGTCCTGGAGGTGGGGCCTGCCAGGTCCCCACCCTCCCCCATTCCTGGTTCCCAGTCTCCTTCCCTCCACCACTTCCCTCTGGCAGAAGGGAAGGAACCCAGCCTGAGAATCAAGGTGACCCACCAAGCGGTACTGTCAGATTCCATTTAACTCCTTCCTTTCTGCACCTCCAGGAGCAGACAGAGCAGAAAGGTGGGTAAGAGACACCCAGCGGAACTCCAGCTGGTGCAGCTTAGAGCTGCTGAGTCTCTGCTGAGAGTGAGTGTGGGTGTGGGGGCCTGGCCAGGGTCCTCGGGGACACGGAGGCCACACCCTAGCTCCCACTGCCTTCATTGGAGAACACCCGGAAGTCCTGGCTGCTGGCCACCATTCTATGATGAAACCGAGTTTGAAAAACGCTCCGCTTGCTGCTCCAATTCTTGTGTTACAATTGTTGATTCAGAGAAAGGGTGGGTGTCCGTTCCTTCCCCTCTCCTCTCCCCGCCCCATCTACAGCCCTCCTACTGCTCAAAACCTAAAGCCATCAACTTGATCTGTCCCTTAGATCCCCAAGAGCCCACTAGTTCTCCCCGTGGGCCTTGGTGGACACATTACTTCCCTCTCTGGTTTGTTCTTAAATTTTGTCATATAATCGGCCTATAGTACTTTCTCTGCAGTAGCCGGCTCTGTAAACTGTGTTTCTCGGTCCAGCAAGTGTTTCAAAACTAATTCCTGGGGGTTGCTTCAAAGTAACAGCCTGTGGCAGTAGGTTGGGCTTCCAGATGAAGGTAAAGGAAAACGTGTGGGATGGATTGAAGAGATACACCCTCAACAGCAGGCGTCTGCCTCCTGTCTTACGGATTCCAGCTGCGGTTTCCAGCTGCGTGCAGAGGGCATGGCATTGCTTAGTGGCCTGTGTCCCAGGAGCACACAGTTAGGACACCGTTACTCTTGCGTTTGCTTCGCTAGGTCTGTCTGCAGCTGGATGTTCCCCATGCTGTTCTTTTCCTGTCCTTCACACAGCGTCAGGTAAAACCTCACCCTGTCTATAATAAACCAGGGGCTCTAAGTGGCTTCTCCATCCTGCAGCCTACTCTGGGTTATAGCCCATGGGTACCTGTCAACCTTTGCAATCGCCACCCTGACCCTGTGAGGTCAGGTAGGCATCTAACGTCATTTCCTTCACAGATGTAGCTGGATGGTCACCTGGGCTGTCCTCCTGTGCTGACTCTGTATGAACTCCTACCTGGGTGTCTCCTCCTGCCTCAGCGCCCACTCAGTGCCTAACTGTGAGCCCTAGGCTACAGCAAGATGTAGGTGGAAAAGGGGCCACACTTGTCTGGCCACCTGACCACATGTCTTCCCAGCCCCTCCAACACTGAGACCTTCTGGATAGCTAGACTTGGGGGTTAGGAGACGCACATATCCTAGGGCCTTGGACAGAAAGGTCCAGGGTGTAACTGGGTTTTCAAATTTCAGAGACTTTCTGTATCTAATCAAAGTCAACGTCTGCGGAAATGAGGTCAAGGAGACAGAACACCCTGTAATCGCCCACGTTCTGTGGTCCTACATCCAAGACCCCACAGGGCACAGTTCTCTGCCTCACCTTCATTACAACGGAAATTCATAAAATGATCTCCAGGGGCACTCAATGATGTAAAAACTTTGGGGTATGGAGCACTGGAATTGTGAGTTGTTCTGGTCCCCCTTTTCACAAGCCCTGGTGGGAGGAACTTGGCCTCTCTAGGCTGTTACAGGTGCCCCCAGATCTGTCAGAACACTTCCACCCAGAATATCACTAGGGACACCCCCCACCCCCAGACCCAGGAAAGGTTGGCATTAATCCAAGAACTTTGCTCTTCCCCAGCTCTGTATGAAGTCTAAGGCAGTGTGGATCTAGGCCCGCAGAAACACTTTAGTTACACAGGAGGAGGGGCAAGAGCCATCTCAATGAAAACAAGTGCCCAGGGGACTAGAGAGGTGGCTCAGTGGTTAAGAGCACTGACCGCTCTTCCAGAAGTCCTGAGTTCAATTCCCAGCACCCACATGGCAGCTCACGTCTGTCTGTAACTCCGGGACCCAACACCCTCATACAGATACGGGCAGGCAAAACATCAACGCACATAGAAAGAAGGAAGGAAGGAAGGAAGGAAGGAAGGAAGGAAGGAAGGAAGGAAGGACAAGAAAAGAAGTATCCAATGGCCACCTCGCAGGATGGTGGAAATACTGAGATCAACTACGGGGAAGCAGCTGCTGCCAAGGCTAGCTACCCTCAGTTCCATTCAGAAGGGCCCAACAGAGGGACAGAGCTCCTGCGCCCATTCCACAGAATGAAGAAATATAGACACAGAGGCCATGGGCCTGGGGTCAAGAGCACAGAACTCTTAAGGGTGAAGAAACGGAAGCTGGCAGCCTGTGCATGCCCAAAAACATACGCATATAAATACATATATGCACTCTCATGTAATCAGCATGTACCCATGGCATTACTACCAGGATCTGCACGATGCCCCTGCTACAGCCTCAGCTGTCCCTCCCGGCCCCACTTTTCTCTAAGCTGTGGGCAGAGTTACTGCCACCCTCCCCCAAGGCTCTAGTGGCAATGCTTCCGTGTGATGAAACAGCCCCGAAGGCATGTCCCCAAGTGTCCCCACATCAACATGGAAGGGAATCATCAATCAATGCCTGTCTAAAGGGCAGGGCTGTGCCGTCTGGCTCAGAGTCCAGCTGCAAACAGCTGGATACCAAGTCCCTCTCTAAGAGTGAGACAGCCATAGGCCCACATCTGTGCCTCCGAGTTCTAAAAGCTAATCCCCACGACGACTGCGTCTGCTTGAGAAATGCCCAGTGAACACCAGTGAAAGGTCTGCTTGAAAAATTTCCTAATGTGATGATTTCATGCCTCAGAGTATCTCTGGAAAATCCCAGGACCCAAGTCCAGAACCCTGCCCCCCGACCCCGCATCCTGCATGTTTGAGAAGAAGGGACTCAGCTCCATGGCAGGGAGGAGGGGCAGGAGAGACCCTAAACTGATGTCATATCCTGGTCCCCCCTGCCCCATCCAGATGCTTATTTCTGGGACCTCTTGACTGACAGGCTGGCTCTGCACCCAGGGACTCAACATGAAATTCCTGGATAAAACCAAGAGCCAGGGATGGAGGCAACAGAATAGCCATAGCTCCTATTTCAAGGGCTCTATGTAGGAGAGTACGGTCCCTCCCACCCTGAGTGCCCACAGCTTACCCAGCACTTACTCTTGCTTAGTTCTCTCCCATGCTCCGCTGCTACTCACTTCAGACCCAGCATTCACTTGGGAGCACGGTGGATGTATTCACAGCTCAGGGTCTAACTAAGCTTCCAGGTTCCCATCTGGAGTCTTGCACTACACATACATATATACATGCACACACATTCACGGACACACACATTCCCACACTTACATGTGTGATCACGCCCACTCCATACACTCAAACACACATGTTCATGCTCACACACTCACATACACACTCGCGAGCGCGCTCACAGAAGCACTTGCACTAGCAGGGAACGCTAAGGTCCTGGCTGACTAGAGGCCATCGTCTCTGTCCCTCCCAGCCCTGTGTAAAGGGTCCCATCGGCCCCTCAATCTGCCATCGCTCTGTGTGCCCACAAGCAGCACACAGTCAGGGTTTTCAGACAGGAGGGAGGGAGAAAGCAGAAGCCGGTGTGAACCAAGAACAGCACCAGCCTGTTTCCATGCCACTGCCTGGTCAAGGGTGACCTCAGACCCTTTGGTGTCCTGCAGGATCTGTGGGGGCGCATAGAGACTGTTTGGTCCAGTGATGCCAGCCACCATGCTGGGGAGAGAACCCAAGGTAAAGAGAAAGAGATCCCTACATCCACAGGAAGGTGGAGAGGGGACACTGTCTACAGCTAAGAGCTAAGGACCCAGTGAGATGGAAGAGAGTCCCAGGATACAGTCCCTACCCATCTGACTCAGGTTCAATCCCTGGCAGGGGTCGGTTGAGTGCCGAACACGGGGGTTGGGCTGGGAGGACTCTGGCCCTGGAGCAAGCATCTAAGTTCTTAAAGGACTGGTCACAAGCTGGGCTCCATCGCACTGTCCTCCAGGAAGCTACCGAAGATTCTATCTCCCATGAGCCCTGCCCCCCACCCCAGCTCCTAGAGAACGGGAAGGATTGGTCAGAAACAGGGATCAGCACACAGCATCCCCCCCAGGAACAGCAATACTACAGAAGCAGGCGTCCATCACACGCCTGATTCCCATCCCTCAGCCTGAAGCTGCCCTTCTCTCTGGCAGTTTGTGAGAACAATTTTCCTAGAAGCCAGTGTCCACTGGCAACCCGTGATGTGAGGCCATTAATGCCCTGAGGCTTTCTTCGACTGCACCTGAGTCTGTCTGACCTTGGGCTAGCTCTCTTGCTCTGGTGTCCCTGTCACCTTGTGAGGGAGCATGTCACCAGTGCCTGCCTTGTTTGGAGTGGCCCTTGTAGTCTGGCAGGTCTAACTCTCTGGAAGCCAGGGCTCCTGTTGGCGGAGATCCCATAGTGTGGAACCTGGAAGTCAAGCCATTCCACAGGGCCTATGGTAACACACCTACACAGACTTCTACAGAGCTCTGCATTGAGCTAACTGAGTAGCCAGTATAACCCAGAGGGCCCCTGAGGACCCTTGAGGACAAGGACTCAAGAACCGGCACAAGCTACACCTACAATGGCCGACAATAAGGTCCTCTCTTGGCCCTCAGTGACTAGAGTCACATATGGCTGCCTACACCAGCCACCAGGGATCAAGACTTTGGTCAAGACAGGCAGGCACCAGCACAACACCGTGGAGCGATCACCCAGAAGCCCCTGGGAGGACAAACGAGTTTATCTCAGCTTCAGAATCAAGGTACCAAGACCCGAGCCGAGCCGTCCCTCATCCTCGCCTGCCAAGGTCCTTGGGTGTGCCGCAGCAAGTTCTTGCCATGCAAGAAGCCACTCCCTCTGCACCATCAGTCCCAACTCAGGAATGACAGGGACACAAAGATTCTCGGGATTCGGAGAGCTAGCAAATCGGGAACCTAGAGGCACCATTTCAGCTATGTTTCAATCTGGCAAACTCCGTCTAGGAAGCCAGGCTATCCCCGTAACCTGGCTACTTCCGGTTTACAAATGCCCCGCCCTCCTCATGTGCCCTAGAGCATCCCTGTGGTTCAGCCAAGCGCAGGCGGCTA